TGTATATAGTACTAATAATATCTTTGACTGGACTGAAATGCAATGTAATCACAATGGGAAAATTCATTTGGTATGCTGTAATAATACAGTGATTAAATGTAAAAAAAAATAACCTTTTTTTTTTAAAAAAAAGAAACACTACAGAGAGGATGACAATGGAAAAGAATAGCTGTTTTCATATAGAGTACAAAGGCTTTTTCTAGGTGGAATGGAAGCTATGTATGTTTGAAGAGAGCTTGTCCACTTGCATTTAGAAAGTAGAAGAAAATGATTTTGCTAATGATTAGTACAACACAACACTCTCATCCTATTTAATAGATCTCTTTAGATTATTTCTGTATTAAAAGCATTATTATAAACTATAGAAAAGAAACTGTAAAAAGATGTCTCTTACAGGCCTTATCACAAAAAGTGGGACTAGAGGGGTCCCAAAGAATTCATATAGGCCAGATAAACCAGTCCAGAAGCTGTTCATCTTCAGATGATTTAAGACATATTTGATAGCTTCCCCAGTGACCTATGATACTCTAGTAACATTCACTTCCTTTTGCTTAACTGGAATAAAAAGTAGATAAGAGATGAAATTCTCTAACATGCCAGCCAGTAAATGCCACTTGCTTACTACAAACTTGGCTTATCTTATAGGAATAAGAATCAAGAATGATAGGGAAGCCTAAACTATCATCTCCTGGCAATAATCACCTGTTATGAACATTGACAGATTAAGGGTGTGGTTTCTCAAAAGGACTTAAGTCTTTGGGGCACAATTCCAGGGACATTTTGTTCTACTCGACATCCACAATGTCTGCCGTTCTTTGGAGATTAAAGGACACTTTGGAAAGGTAGTTAGGTTTCAGAGTATAGGTGCAAAATTAACTTTGGCCATTTTAATTTTCTTTTATTTCCAAAGAGCAGCAGTCATTTGGAAGTATTCCCAGAACTCTTGCCTCACACTCATAGATCTTAAAGGCATGTATTGCTGAGAAACAGAATTAGGATTGAGAAACTGCTGAAATTTGTGAGAAAAATATAGAATCACATTGAGAAGACTGAGCAGGGTCTCCGCTTTCAGGCAATTCTTACTCAGCCTAGAGATATCTCTAGGTTCTCCTACAACACTACTTTAGGGTTCACACACACAAAAGTAGTCTTGAGTCATCTAGTTTGGAAGTAGGCTAGAAGCACTTCAGGCACTTGTGAGAAAGAAGGAAATGGTGTATAGATGCCAGTTTGTCAGATATGAGGATACGTCAGGAAGTTCATGGAAGAATGAAATTATAAGCTTAAGCCAGCTCTGTGTCCTGGTATGTTAAGAGCAACCACATCCCACATGGCTGAATGCAAGGTCTGAATCCCAGCCCCAGTGACTTGACTAACACACTGGGCATGTGTGCATGTGTGATCCCAAATACCAACAGGGTGGAGAAATGGAGGAGAAGGGATTACAACCTGATCACACCTATTTGGGGGGTTACTTTCACCCTCCCCCTCTCTCTGTGTCTTTCTCTGGCAAGTGCACATGCCCACTGGGCGGTGGAGGGGGGGGAGGGATACAAGTTTATTTTGATGCAAAACTTTTGCAATCCCTGCATAGGTTTTTCATAATACACATTTTTCGTGAACCTTTTGAAGACCCACGTACCTGCATTTCTTTAGCAGGTATACATTTTGGGGGGGAATGAGGACAGAGGTCAGAAACTGGTAAGGATGAAACTAATTTATGAAATCCTTTATCCACTTGATGCCTTTGTCAATAGAATAAAAGTTTATGTTACAGTGGGACTTTATGATCTTTTACAATATTTCATGGCTCTCATTCCTAATTTTCCTTTCTCCCTGAATGATTCATTTCTGCCACCTCTTTTTATCAAAGCTCAGATCACAGGGTCTTTAGGACCTTGTGTTAAATCATAGTCAAGTTGGCAGCATTCTGTGAAGAACTTCATTAAGAATGTGGAACATATTGGGACCAGCAGTTGGTGTAATGACTATGTCGCTGGACTCCCATATAGTTAGTTGACTGCTGTTTGAGTCCCAGACCTGGTAGCTTAAACTCATGCTGGGTGCATATGTGTCTGTGCCCAAGATCCCGAGAGGAGAATGGAGGAGAAGGGACTGCGGCATCGCCATCCTCCCTGGGGGTGATTTTTCACTTTCTGTCTCTCTGTCTCTCTCTGTCTGTCTGGCAAGTGCTGCATGCACCCTATAGCAAAAACCTTTCTAAAAAAAAAAAAAAGAACGTGGAATATATTTTTTTGAGTTTTATTTGTAATACTGTTCTTCATGTACCCAGATAATTGAGACTATTTAATATTTTTAAATTTTTTAAAAAACAAAATCAGTTTTGTATGAGACTATTCCTTGAGTATAAATGTGCTTTATAGAGGAAAATGTAGATTTCTTCAGATTTCAAAGAAGGCAAGAATTATGAAAAGACCCAGTGGTTCCAAAGGCTACTCTTGGCTATTACTTCACCCTGGCCTCTGTCCTCTTTGTAGCTATTTTTATGTTCTTTGTAAAATGTCTCTGCTCGTTTTTCTCAGAACCCAAACTAGCATTTTCCAAAGTTGGCCATGTCTCCTTAGCAGTCATCTTATACTCCTGGAGCTTGTTCATCTCTATTTTTATTCCTTAGCAACAGAAAAGATGTGTGTGGAAGATTTATATGTTTCACATTTCAAAATTCTCTTTTCTTTTAGTTGGGATGTTTACAATGTCTTTTGAACAAACTTATCTCCACATTCCATCAACTATACAGGAGGCAGGAAAGCGTGTTTTATGAGCAAAGACTTTGGGAACAAGCAATTTCTGTTCTTCTGTTTACTAGCTACTGTCACTGGGCTTTAGTTTCCTCATTTATAAACTAGAAATATTAATAGTACTTGCCTCCATGGGGTTGCAGTGAGCATTACGGAAGCTAATGCATATGAAGCACTTCAGTCAGTGGGAGATGTGGAGACATTCCTTAATAAATGTTAATAATGATGGTGATGATAATAAAGGATTTGAAATTTCAAAAAGTTGTATTGCAGCATTCCAACATAACTTTTTCAGGGAGGAAATCAGATTACACAATCTTCTGAGGTTATTTGAATTTGCTATGTGAAAAGGAAAAGTACTTGTTTGTCACTTAATGGCTGCCCTACATTTTTACTCAATTGGAGAATGTGTGTGCATGTGCAAGCCTGTGCTGTTATGTCGTGTCCCTGCTTTGAAAGGCAGCAGTTCTTAATATTGAACAGTATACACAGTAAGATTTTTGCAAATGTTTATTCCATTACAAAATCTAATTCTCATACAAAATTTGACTAGTAGAAAAGATTTTGACCTTATGAAGATGTACAAGACATTGGGCCAGCCAGGCAGGTTGCATGGTGGCTAAGGCGGCTGTATGCCATATGGCTGATTGTGTGATTTGAGTCCTGGACCCAGGACTTACTCAAAAAACATGCTGGGCATGTGTATGTGCGTGCTCAAAATCTTAAGAGGATAATGGAAGAGGGGACAGGATTGTGTCATGGCCATCCTCCCAGGGAGTGATTTCTCACTTTCTTTTTCTTTTTCTCTGTCTCTCTGTCTCTGGTGAGCACATGGATCTTATAGCAATTTAAGAAAAAAAAAGATTGATAAGGCATTTACTTATTTTTTAAGAGTGTATTTCCTATATAAGTGAGAAACAGACATAGATGATCTAGCACCCCCCACAGGGTTTTGATACTCAGTACACCCCCAGCTTTATCTAGTTTAGATCATGGGCACACCTGTTCCTGATGTGCTTAGAAAGGTCTCCAGATGCAAACCTGGAACCTTCCCATGTGAGTCTGCGTCTCAGAGAATTGTGTTTTACTACTATGTCACCATCTAGCCCCTACAAGATATTTATTTTTACTTTTGTATTTTTTTTTTTTTTTGCCAGAGGTCAGATACACTCATGACAGGGGGGAGGGAGGGGGAGAGAGAAAGAGAGAGAGTGAGCAAGCGAGCTCCCCAGTAGGGCATGGTTGTACCATGGGCCCACAGAACCAACATGATACTGGAGTACCATATTTGAGAATGAGCAGAGAGCAGGGGAGCTCTAGCAAGTTATGGGCAGGAACCATAGTCATAGTCTTTGTAGCACAACATTTGCTCAGTACACTGCCACAGGGAAGGAGAAACTGCAGTTCATTTTTGTCTATGCATGAGTGACTCACCTCACGGTCAAAGTCTTCTGCGAGTGTGTGCTTGGACAAGCACAGATCATAAGCTCATAGTTGAGTTAAACTAAGAGAAGTAAGGGGTGGGGGTAGGGTGGGGGGAGAGTAAGGATCTAACCTATCACTCCTGTAGTGACCTGGTACCTGAGACAGTCCTCCCTACACAGCTGTCCATGGGATAGTAGGGATAGTTTCCTCAAAAAAGAAAAAAAAAAAAACATACTTCTGGGAAAGGGGAATAGATGATGGGTAGCTAAAAATGACAAATCCCCATCATTCTACATTGCTAATATTCTTATTATTTACATCAAACATAGTCCTGTAGTCTAGCCAGTCTTTATTTAGCCTGTGTAGAACTTAATATAATCTGAGACATTCTGCTTTACTATTCCTGTCCTATATGTGGTCTAAAGACAGACCTCCATGTCATTATTCTGGTCTTATCTGAGTGGGAACAGCATTCCAGAGAGATTAGATAGAAATTTAGGAACTGAGTATATTATATGGATGAGCTATGTTTCTTTATTTGTTCCAATAAGTAGAAATAAATTCAAAGCTATTGTTTCCTGTAAATTAAAGACAGCTAACAGCACCAAGGACATTTTGCTACTCTTATTAAAATTGGGACCTGTATAGGTAAAACATACTTACTTTTCATCAAAGGGAAGGCTTCTGACAGAGTAGAGGATCCTGTTACTTTGAAAATAACTGCCTTAGACTGATTGGACTTTTCTGTTATTAGAATGTCATCTTAATTTAATGGATTACCCTTTTCAATTGATTTCTTTTGCTTTTATGTTTCAGGGGAAAACTTATCCATTCCGAGGTGCCTTTCCTCCCGTTTGGAATCCAGTTGCCTATCTGGATTACAACAATCTATGGCGAACTATGGATAATATGGGGAAGGAGGTAAAATGTTTGTTCAGCTTACACATGACCCATTGCTGGAATAACAGTGGCAACTGTTTCAAGATCTTTGTACAGTACAGGGAAGATTGCTTCTGACATTGATGCATGTTATTTCCAGTGTACTCAACAACTCTGCAAAGTTCTGTATTTCCACTTGACAAATGGGGAAAATGAGTGCTGGGGAATATGTAATCTCCCCAGAAGCACAGAGCAGAGGAACTAGGATTCAAACCTACTCTCTAATACTAATGTCTGTGTACCTTCAACTCTATGCTATTGAGCATTTATATGATATATGGCATGTTTACCAGATATCTTTACTAACTTTTTCTTATCCATCCATAATGCCATGTTAATAGTAAAGGAGAGAAGAATTTACTGTGTGTTAATTTAGCCTCAGGCTCTGTAACATCATTCCCAAACATGAATTGGGGATGTAAAATGGGTTTTAGCTTTCAATCATCATCATCATAATTACATAAAAAATGTTATCCATGCATTTGTATGTACTTATTATCATTATTATTGTTTGGGCAACAACATTAAGGCATAGACTATCAATAGCTCTTCCCATCTCCACATACAATTCCATGCCAATCATACATTCCAACACAGACACCAAAAAACCAATTTTCAGAGGCTCTCAGGAGGACCTTTCCAAGGGGGAGTGGTGGCAGTTACCATCACACCTTCTTTCTCTGCAGATTCCAGCTGATGCACCTTGGACGGCTCCACATGCTGATGAATGGGACAAGATGACCATGAAAGATCTCATCGATAAAATCTGCTGGACAAAGTAGATTTTTTTTATGTTTTCTTCCAGTCCTTTCTCTCCTGTCTTGAGCTTTAGTGCTTTTCTTAATAACTTAGAGGGAAAGTATTAAGAGGAAACCTAATCATCTTTCAGTCAGTAGCAACTTTGAGGGCACTTTAGAACTTCAGAGCAGGTTTAACAGAAAATGAATCTAAAAATTTAGGTAAGTGAATGAAGTAGAACTTCTTTTAATGAAAGGATTGTGTAATCTGTCATAAAACCAGTAATTGTAGAATAATTATAAATGTAGAATAATAAGAAACTGGAGGGAATCTAGTCTGTACTAATGAAAAATAGGAACTGTATTAGGGGTCTTCAAAAACTTCATGAAAAACATATTATGAGAATATATATATGGAATTACATTTTTTGCCTAAAAATAAACTCATAATTTAATTCTATTTTTCCACAAATTTTTTGAAGTTTCCACATATAATGTTTTAAGGTAAAATCTCTTAGTTACAGTTACAGATATTAGTTACAGTTCATAAATATTTATTATATATGTATTTATTACATATTAATTAAATACATAAGCACTGTAATAATATAGTGTTGATGTATGTATTAGTATGCATTCATTTTGGGCCTGCTCTATAAAGGCACTATGCCAGGCACCAAAGTAATGATGGTGAACTTGTTAGAAATGGCCCCTATCCTCGTGGAGTTTATATTCTTCAAGTAGACAGGACTGTCATTGAACACAGAATGGCAGGGAACTATCTGTACAAGGGGGAACCTTATGTGACCTGAGGGTAAAAGGATGTACTGCTTGATTAAACAACCTGTAATGAAACTAAAGAAGTAGTGTATCAGCCAAAAATAAGCCACAGAGGTAGGGGAGAGACAGGATAATATAGACAGAATGTTATGGGGGAAGAATCTTCCAGAAATGAGCTACAAGAGCTGAGGAGACAGAGAGAAATGTAGATATTATGTGTGTGTGGTGGGGGAGGGGTTGATGGTATGTTCCAGAAATGACCACAGGGCTGAGAGGAGACAGGAAGACTGATTCTGTGGGGGTGAACAGTGGTAGGTGAAGGAAAGCATAGGTTATGTGATAGCTTGGTATCTTTCAGGGATGAGCCATATGATCTGGGGGAGAGACAGGAAGGGTAGATGGGATGTTGTTGGGGGATGATAATATCCAGAAATGAATCACAGGAGCAGGGAGAAGATAGGAAAAATTAGATCATGTGGCGGGTAATATCTTCCAGGAAAGATCCACTGGGGTGTTTGTAGAGGGTGGGCTGGGAGGAATATGGTCTCATACAGCATTGACCCATAGGGGTAGGGGTGATAGTGAGGCTAGTATATAAGGATGGCATCTTCCAGGAATGAGCCATGGGGGCAGAGAGGAGACAGGGTAGAATCGATGTTGTAACAAGGATGTGATCATCCAGGAATGAGTCACAGGGATGGGGGAAGACAGGAAGGGAAAATAGTGTGGCAAGGTGGTATCTACCAGGAATAAGCACCAGGGTAAAGGGAGATTCAGGAAAGGTGAATGACTTGGGTGGGATGGTATATTCCAGGGACGATTCACAGGGGTGGAGGGAAATAGGTGGCGTGGACAGGCAGGTTAGAGTCCTTCAGGAATAGCCATAGAGGTTCAGTAGAGACAGAAAAGGTAGATAAAATGGGAATTATTATCTTCCATGAATGAGCCACAGGATCAAGTTGGGAGACAGGAAGGGTGGTGCATAGTGTGGGAAGATGGTGTCTTCCAGGAATGACCCACAGTGACAGGGAGACAGGGGAGGGTGGATGTGGTACATTTGGGGGGTGAGGGTGGGAATGGTATATTTCAGGAATGACCCACAGGTACTGGGAGGAAACAGGGAAAGTAGAGTGATGTGAAGAAGGATTAGTACCTTCTAGGAGTGACCCACAGTGGCTAGTAGGAGACAGGGAAGTTTGGATGTTGGAGGTGGGGGTGGATGAGGAAGATATCATCCAGGATTAACACATAGGGATAGTGGAGACACAAGAAGCAGTGTATATAGGAATTAACCACAGGGACATGGGAGACCTAGAAGATTGAGATTATGGAGAGGGATATGTCACCCTGGGTTGATCCAACAGGTATAAGGCAGAAACAGAAGTGATAGTATGGCAGGATGGTATCTAATAAGTATGAGCTCCAAGTTCACAGAAAATACAGGAAGGGTGGATGGCTGAGAAAATGTTAAGTTTCAGGTATGAGCCACAGGGGCTGTGGGAATATGGGAGAGAAGATGCTGTCATTTAGGAATGATTCATGGGGGCAGTGGGGAGACTAGGAGCTGGGAGAGTGAAGCAAAGTGATATTCTCCATGACTGAGACAGTGGGGCATTGGGAAAGACAGTATGGGCAGTATGGTGGTCAGTATTTGTATAAAAGAGCAACAGGTCCAGGTTGGGAGACTGGAAGTGTCCATAGTGTAGGGAGATGGTTTCTTCCAGGAATGACCCACAGTGTCAAGGGGAGACAGGAGAGCATGGATGATGTGTATAGGATAGGAGGTAGGGAATGATATCCTCCATTAATGGCTTATAATCAACAGGAGGAGACAGGGAAGGTTGTGGGATATGGGTTATATCTTCCAGGAATGAGCCATAGGGCAGAAGAGACAGAGGAGGGTGAATTTTATGTGTATGTGTGTGTCAGGAGGTGTAGCTGGAAGATAGTATCATCCAGAATTGACCCACAGGGCAGGGCCTGACAGAAGGTGAATATATGTATGTGGGGCAGGGGAGCAAAACATGGTACCATCCAGAACTGACCATAGTGATGGGAGTAGGCAGGACACAAGAATCATGTAACAAGATGGTATCTTCCAAGAATGAACCACTGGGACTGGGAGGAGACAGAAGAGAATGGATATTGTTTGTGCGTGTAGATGGTATAATTTATCATTGATTCATATGGGTAGATGGGAGATAGAAAAGGAGGGTGATGCAGGGAGATGGTATCATTCAGGAATTATACACAATGCCAGAGGGAAAGAAGGGAGGTTGGGTCTTGTGGGGAGGAATGGTATCATCCTGGAATGACCTAGAAGATCTGAGGGGAAACAGAATATTGGTTGATATGGAGGGTGTAATCTTCTGAGAATGTTCCACAGAGGACAAGAAGCCATAAGGGGACCAGCAGTTAGTGTAATGGCTATTTCACTGGACTCCATTGCAGTCAATCATGGTTTGAGTCCCTGACCCGGTGGCTTAAACTCACGCCGGGTGCATGTGCATGCATGCCCAAGATCCCAAGAGGAGAATGGAGGAGAAGGGATTGTGGTGTGGCCATGCCCCCTGAGGGGTGATTTCTCGCTTTCTGTCCCTCTGTCTCTCTGGTGAGCACATGTGCCCTATAACAAAAAACAAACAAACAAACAAACAAAAACCAACAACAACAACAAAAAAGCCATAGGGAAGACTGGATAGTTTGGGAGATGGTGTGTTCCAGGAATAACCCACTGGGTAAGGGGAGATGGGGGAGGGTGGATAATGTGTGTGTGGAGGGAGGAATATGGTATCAACCAGGATTTACCCATAATAATAGGGGCCAGACAGGAACAGAGAATACTACTGTGGAATGACATCTTCCAAGAATAAGTTTTCTCCCCACAAGGATAGGGGGAAATAAAGGAGAGTGGTTATTGTGTAGCTTTGTATTCTTTATGAATGAACAACAGGAACAGGATGGGTGTACAAAGTGGGATAATGGCATCTTCCAGGAATGTTCCAAAGTGGCAGGGGAGACAGAGGATGATATATATGTTGGAGTGGAGGAGGGTTAATATATCCTTCAAAACTGACCTACAGGACAATAGAGAGTGAATATTGAGTGAGTGTGGTGGGGTAGGGGAGTTAGGGAATATGGTGTCATCCAGGATTGATCTCTCATGATGAGGGATATAGGAAGAGCAATTAGTGTCCTAGCATGGAATGCACCTTCTAGGAATGAATCACACAGGCAGGGGGGAGACAGAGGAGGGTAGTCCTGTTTTTAGAGGGTATAGCAGATGGTTTAATCTAGGAGTGATCTGTAAAGGTGAAGAGAAGGAAGGTTGGTTCATTTGGAGGTTTGGTATCTCCCAGGAATGACCCACAGAGGTCATGAGGAGACAGAGAAGCTTGGGTAGTATGTGTGGGGATGGTATCTTCCAGAATTGACCCCTATGGCAGGGGGAGACAAAAGAAGGTAAAAGGCAGGGAATAAAAACATGGTATCATCCCAGATTGACCCATAATCCTGGAGGGAGACATGAAGCAAGTATAATGGGACAAGTTTATACCTTCTAGAAATGAGTCATGGGAGTACTGGGAAGACAGTGGAAATGAGACTGTTTTTGGATGGAGATTATGTCATTCATGAGGAAACTCATAGTATGGGGAGATGGTATTTTCTAGGAATGACCCAGTGACTGTGGAGAGACAGGGAAGGTTGGGACTTTGCAAGTAATGGTAATTTCTTGGAATGCTCACATGAAGCATAGATAGTGGGGGTAGAATGTTATCTTCCAGGAGTGACCCGATAGGAAATGTACATGGTATGACGGGGATTGTTCCTCCCAGGAATAACCAACAGAGGTTGGGGGGAGACAGAGGAGAGTGGGTGATGTGTGTCAGGGGGGAAGGTAGTGATATGTTCTAGTCACTGAGAATTGGGCTAAGTTTATGTGAAAGTCCAAATGTGGGAAGGAACTTGGCATGTCTTAGTACCTGATAGGATAGTGTGCCTGGACCTTAGATGACAAGAGCAGATGGTGTAGGAAGTTGGAGACCTGACAGAGGCTGATGGTGCAAGATTACCTGGCTGTATTCACGATTTGATCTTTCTTCCATTGAAAGTCACAAAAGGCTTTTCAACTGAAGAATTTTTTAAGTTTTGTGCTTTCAAAGAGTTCATTGGCTAGAGTGTGGAGAAGGATGCAAGTGGGAATGGATTGCTATAGGGTGCGTGCGCTTGCCAGACAAACAGAGACATAGAGACAGAAAGCGAGAAATCACCCCCCAGGGGGAATGGCCACGCCACAATCCCTTCTCCTCCATTCTCCTCTCAGGATCTTGGGCATGCACGCACACGTGCCCGGCGTGAGTTTAAGCCACTGGGTCCGGGACGCGAACTGCGGTCGACTACGTGGGAGTCCAGTGACATAGCCATTACACTAACTGCTGGTCCCTAACCCATAATTTCTTCAAAGCAGGAGAAAACTTTATTTTCTCCAAGAGTTAAAAAATGCATTTATTCACTTTTTTTTTTCAGTTTCAATAGAAATAATTTCTAGCCATACTAAACTGTGTTTTAACATGAGGTCTTCGGACTCATGTATGTATTGGCACCTGACTGCCATTCTTGTTCTGCAAACAGGACTGCTAGACGGTTTGCCACTCTCTTTGTGAATATCAATGTGACCTCCGAGCCCCACGAGGTATCCGCCCTGTGGTTCTTGTGGTATGTGAAGCAGTGCGGGGGCACCACTCGGATATTCTCAGTCACCAATGGGGGACAGGTATGGTGTGTCTATTTTGAAACTGTAGTTTTGTGATTTTGCCCTCACCCCGAATATCATAATCACTTTAGTATTTCGAAATGTGTAATCAGCAGCATGAAATGATGTCAAAAAACTTCTGAGCCAAAATTCATTTCCTGTTTTTATTCTTAAAAGTAAGTTCACAGCTAAAGACTGTTTCATTTTGAATTGATTAGGTTTTGGTAATTAAGCTTCTTCCTTTTGTAGGTCAGAAAAAGTCAGGCTATTCATGTAGGAAAAGCTAAATAACTAAAATAAATAAATGTTCAGAAAAATTCTAGTACTTGTAAAATTGAGTACTTAAACATTCATCTCTGTTCCCAACGTAAGGCTTTTGTCCCATCTGTTACTCAGAGTTACTCTTTTATGTTAACTGTTAAAGAATCAACGTGACCATTCTTCCAGTTCACACAAGTGATTTAGGGCCACTCTTTCAAGAGTAAATTCTACATTTTGAATTTAGCATTCTTGCTGCCCACATGCATTTTTCCCAGCTCACATACCACTTCTGTTCATTAGACACACAACAAACAAGTGGCAAAGCCCGAATCCCATTTCTCTGCATTATCCAGACTCTGAGGTTGCTTGTTTCAAAGCTTTCCCTTATCTAAAGAGAACGGGTATCTTTTTTTCTAGGAATGGTGTACCTGGATGGGATGAGGATTGTGGCATGACCACACCCCATTGAGGATTGCTTTCTCTCTCTCTGGGGAATGCTCATGTTTTCTGGCAATTATTTTTTTTTAAATTTCATTATGGCCTTAACCTTTTAAAACTAAACTGGAGCCATTTCCATGCTTAGCCTAGAAGATGGCAGTAGACAGTACACTCCATGTTTTACAGAGCTTCTCAACAGAACTGTTTGACAATGTGTAAAGGAACGAGGAGGTGCTTAGCTTTCACCCTTATGCCTCCACTTTGAAACTTCCAAACAGTTTTGCAAAAAGTTACTCAATATCTGAAACTCAGATCCTTAGAACATTATTTGGTGATGACTGGTAGAGTTTGGCTCTCTCCAAGATCACCCTGAGCCCATTCTCTTAAAATTATGTTGTCTACAGTATAACACTGTCTACATTTTTCCCTGCCTAGACAGCTCAAGCCCAATACTACGAGAAGCCAAGATGACTTAGAAACTACACCCTCTGGGACAAGCTACCCAGGGTTTCCATTTATGCACTGTATTCTTGAGCATTTGAAGTCCACAGACTTGTTGATATTCCCATTTGATCAAAGCAGCACTGGTATTCATTGGTGGAAGCTGGGTAGGGAATGATACCTGTGTCTTGGCAGACTCTGCCTGTATCTTAATAAATTTTTCCAACAGTTAAGTGTGCAGAGGGTGGAGGTCTATCCCGTTACTTTCTGGAGGTATTCTAATCAGTAGCAAATATGATTTTTGGGGGGCTTTTATAATGTTTCTGTTTTCTGCCTACCTCCTCCTGTAGGAACGGAAGTTTGTAGGCGGATCTGGTCAAGTGAGTGAGCGGATAATGAACCTCCTGGGGGACAGAGTGAAGCTGCGGCAACCTGTCACCTCTGTTGACCAGACAGGTGACAAGATCATTGTAGAGACGTTGAATCATGAATTATATGAGGTAACTTAGCTCACATAAAAGGAACATATAGTAAATAGATCTTATGTCTCCTATGGCTTCTAACCAGATATAATCTAAGCAATGACATAGTTAGTATTGGCATGTTTCTGCCTTGGTCTTCCAAATTATCAGCCTTGGCTGTTTTGTTGCTTCACAGTTGCCTCATTTTGTTTATTACTACTCAATGCCATTCAAAATGATAAAAATGATGATGTTTTGAGTTGGTCCTATGGTCTAGTGATTAAGGGACTCAGATCCCACATGGCACGCTGTGGTTTGAATCTCAGCAAGGAAGCTTGAGAAACATATACTCATGTGTCCAGAATCTCAACAGGATGGAGAGATGGAGGAGAAGGGATTGGGGCATGACTATGCCACACTGAGGGGTGCTTTCTCACTGTTCCTTCCCTTCCCTTTCTGTCTTTATGTCTCTCTGTTGAGTGCACATGTCCTCTGGCAAAATTTAGAGTTACCTTGTATTCCCTCTGTAAAGCCTGCAGGTTGTTTGAGATGGTATTATGTGTATGTGTATTTTAGTGCAGATATGTCATTATTGCCATCCCTCCAACTTTGACGGCCAAGATTCATTTTAGACCTGCACTTCCACCTGAGAGAAACCAGCTAATTCAGCGTCTTCCAATGGGGGCTATCATCAAATGTATGATGTATTACAAGGAGGCCTTCTGGAAAAAGAAGGGTAGGCTGCTCTTATTTATGTTTAAATTGTATTAAATGAAAGAACTACACTCTTTTTGGAATATTAAACAGAAGGCAGTGACTAAACAGAAAAAAGTAAGTATTTTCAAATAGGTAGAGAAAGGACCAGAAATCATCTGCTAACCTCCTCATAGCCCCTGGCAACACAAAGGATTCCCAAGAGCACTTGGTGGTAATGAGAGGGAAGGAAGAGATCATGTCATTTGTGAGGCCACCACTGCCCTAGCTCCTGGCATTTGTCCTGCCCTTTACGCTGGGTCTTCAGAAAGTTTCCAGAAAACATGTATTATGAAAAAAACTATGCCATGAATTTCAAAGTTTTTATTTGTACCAAAATAAACTCTTACTTTAATTCCATTTTCCCACAATCTTTTCAAAGTTCCCTCATGAG